GTGGGACAACTGCTGGCTGGTGGGGAGTAATTTTTGGAGATTTAGTGAAGCGTGCTTCTTGTCAGATCTGAAATTTTACATTGTGTAGTGGTTCATAATTAGATAGTATAATGTTCTTATTATTGGACCATATTATGAGTTATTCTAATCACTAAGCATGTAAAATTAAATTCTGAGATGTTAAGTAGGTTATATACTACTGAATTTTCTTTTTTTCTGAGAACATACCTGAAAAAAATCCCATCGCTGCTTTATTTGTAGAGCTGAGTTTTTTAAAAATAACAAAGTTCCTTGAATGTGAGAGTCAACTAAATTGAAAGCCACAGTTTCAACCAGCCAGAAAACTATAGTTCAACTAGCACATTATTATTTTTTTTTATCAGTCCTGGGGCTTGAACTCTGGGCCTGGGCGCTGTCCCTCAGCTCTTCGGCTCAAGGCTAGCGCTGTGCCACTGTGAGCCACAGTGACGCTTCCAGTTTAACACACTATTTTTAAAGAAGCAGGGAAGTAAAATTCTCTAAATACTTTAGCTTTCTAGTGAAGAGGTTTAAGAATTTACTTTGTCCCCAAAGTAATATCATCACTTTCACAAGGGAAAAAAAAATGATTGCTAACACGCAATAACTGCAAATGGAGTTTAACTGCAAAGAACAAATCCAGGGTTTTCTTTCCAAATGTGAAATTTTATATCCAAATGCGTTTCTAAATCATAGTTACTCTCTTCTGAAGAATCATCAGGAACTTAAAAGAATGATCAATACAACAGGGACCTGGCTCAAAGTTGCCCTCCTGACCAGGAAACAGACACTTTCAGGGAAACTGGATAGAAATGGGATTCTGAAGGTGCTACTAGTTATTTACATAGTAACCTGGATCCCTGCCTACCATGTCCACTGTACCATGTATCACTGTTAGTGATAGAAGAATCATTTAATATATGGATGACATTGCCAGAAATCAGGGAGATTATCATGTCTATAACAATTGCATTATTCTTATGGACAACATAAATAATGACACATCCAATATTCTTTTGTTCTTTCCTTCCTTCCTTCTTTCTTTTTTCTTTTGATATTTTATATAGCTTTAGATTGTAAATGTTTCTATGTGAAGACTGTTCACTCTGAGTGTTGTTTTAGCGAGCAGGAAAATTGTTTGGCCTTAAACATAAATGAGAAAAATTTGTCTTTTAGACATTAGCTTAAATTTATTTGGTTATTTTTCTTTGAATTGGAGTATGAATATCCCAAAGATTGGAACAGTTTGTGTATGGAGTTTGGCGCTGCTCTTCATGTGCACATTCTTTTCTGGGATGTTCCTCTCCTTGTCCACAGATATAGCTACCCCAAATTCTTTCCACTAGTTCTGTAGGCTACAAACACTCCAGATTTTCTGTTAAAGTTTTAGCACTACAACTTGTTGTTTGTACTCAGACCCAAGGCATTTTGACCAGGATTTCATCCATCATTCTCTCCCACTATCATCTCCATCCCTACTGAGCTCCTCAAGTTTCCTAGTTTCATTTTCACACATGTACATTGAGAATTATGACTGCATTTGTCTACCATTCCTTCCTACATTCCTTGATCCCCCTAACCTCCCCTTAAGCCCTTTGGTTTGTAAGTAGGATACCATAGACCTTTGAGAAAGTAATCACAATGAAGCAATGAGCAAGAGATTATGTATGATAAAGGAGGTCAAGAAAAAGCAGAGGTCATGTTTGGAGTTTAAGTAGGAAGTAGGGAGCCACAGAATTGTTTCAAACTGCCATAGCTCCTTTCTTCAAGTACTGGGCTGCAGTTACACAAAGCAATGCTATATATACTATAGTAAGAAATAGTTCCTGCCATGTATAGTTTTTGTCTCTCCTCTGCTCCCTTCCAACGTTCAGCTTCTCTTCTGTGTGTTCAGATGTTTTCCTTAGGGTACTCAATTGAACCTGTCTTAACAGGATGATCTTCCTTATCCTATGTAAATCCCATAGAAATATGCTGTCTGCTTTTTGAGGGCAGAAAAAAACGAATGATTTTCTACTCTCACTACAGTTACACAAAGTTGGAGAGCTAATGAGATTTTTATGATGCTTCTGATCATAAAAACTGCATAGTCAAAGAATATACTATTTCAGTTAAAAGGAAGGAAAAAACAATAATGTTAGCTTGATTCAGTAATTCCACCTTCACTATATACCATTGTATCATAAGTAATAGGACCTTGTGTTCCATGAATACATAAAATTAGCATGTCTCTATTCAACAAAAGATTTTAAGTGTAATAATAATTCTACCAATTGTCAAACTTTTGGCTTAACTTTATTGTAAGTTGTATTTTAATGCTTATATGAGCTGAGTGCTTAGTAAAGAGTAGATTTTGGTTCACTTAAACAGAGATCAGGGTTAACATTTATATGATTTTAAAGCTTTCTGGTTAATTTTCTATGGATCTAGGTTTGAGATCCACCAAATTAGAGAGCAACTATTTTTAAATTTTTTTGAGAGCTGTTATGTTGTGGTGGTGATTTTATAAATAAATAAATAGCTGTGAAGTATGAACAGAATTAGTAGCATCCTTTTCAATGGAGAGTTCTTTGTGCCCGGCACTTATTTTACAGAGGCTTTTTTTGGTGCTCTGCCCAATTCTAGCTCAGCAAATTATTTTGAATAATTTTAACATAATGATAAATATTTAGTTTAATGCAAAAGTAATTTTACCAGTAGGAAATGGTTATTCTAGCAGTTACTTGTTTCTAAATTAGATTGAACTACTTTCTGATGGGACTGCCTTATATAATACTCATTTTGATTTGTATTAGCTAAGATAGTTTGGATCACTGCCAAGTACATGTATTTTAGTTTCAATATAAATAAAAAAAAAATTTGATGCCTCTGATTTTGCCTGATAACTCTTTAATAGATCTTTAATAGATCCTGTATGTGTCTATTTATATTCTGTGTTTAATAGAAATAAGCCTATGCATTATTGTCCCTGTCTTTATGTAGAAGACATAAAGCATACACAACACATATACGCAAACATACACAAATATATATACAACAAAATGGCAAAAATAAAGGAAAGGTATGCTAGAATGTACTGATACCAGGTTAGTCACTTTGCCTTCTTAAAACCCTGGAGAGCCACAAAGCACAGTCAACCAAACTAACCCCTTGTCTCTGTAGATAAGGGAGAGATAATTTGGCTATAGGAGGCAAAGGCCAGACAATGAATTGTAGAAGGAAATGGGAAATGTACAAGAATACCTGGTATATATTAGATTCCCAATGCATATTATTTGAATGAATTAGCAATATGAGAGAGAAATGTATTGAAAAATATTTTGGGCTGGTGCAGAAATTTCTTTTTCTTTTTTAATTGTGAAAATACTGTAGAGAGGGGTTACAATTACATGGGCAAGATAATGAATGCATTTCTTATCAAGCATTGTTGCCTCCTCCTTTGTTTCCCCTTCCCATCCCTCCCCATCCCCCTATCCCCCCCATGCCAAAGTTGTAAAGTTCATTTTTGACATAACATCTTATACATCTCATTGTTGCAATGGGTCCACCTGTATCCCTATTTAAACAATTTGTTTTTTTCTCTTCCCCTCAACAAATTATACCAATATCAAATACAGTAAAATTTCTGAGAATTGCCAGTTGCTGTGTTGTAGTATTAAACTGTAGGTGTGTGTATTATAGCCAGAAGATTTTTCCCACCATTGAAGAAGTGCGAGAGCTTATCAGAGAAAGAGATGAGAGTACTTTCTCCAGCTTTCTGATTCTATCTTTTGATAGAACTACTCTTTTCTTTTAAAAGATGACCTATGATACTGAAAGAAGTTTGGCCCTTGAAAACTCATCAGAATTTTATTTGAATTACCAAGAAATCCATTGTCGTCAAAAAATTTACCTAGCTTGGTTAGTTTCGAAAATTCTTTGTTTACAAAGGAGGAGGCAACAGTGCTCAATAGGAAATGTACTCATTACCTTGCTCATGTAACTGTAACTCCTCTGTACAGTATTTTCACAATAAAAACATACAAAAAATAAAAAAAGAAACTAGAAATTTCTTGGTTGTCTACTATTCCTTCACTTGCATCTCAGTCAATCCCATTGGTGAAATAGATTGAGAGTTACCTGGTGCCTTTGGTTAACTGATGCTTGTAAACTTTACTATTAGAGTCTTCTTTTTATACACCCAAGAGTCCGCTACTAATGTGAAGGTTTTAAAGTGTTCCTGAGACTTAATTTTGCTTATTGATGACATAAAATTCACCTTTTGAAGTGAAAAGTCAGTTAATTATAGTAAGTTTATGTTTAGTAATTTTTGTGCAACCACCCTAACTATGCATTTTTGGCTACTTTCAGACTTTAGGCAACCATGAATTAGTTTTTAGAAGTTATAATTTTCTATCATCTGTTGAAGAAACTTCCAGTGAATGAAAGCAGAATATCAGATATTTGTTTTTAATTATTAACTCAGTTTCTTTTATTAACTCAACATTTCTTATTGAAATAACGAACAACTAACTCAGGTGTACTCTATATTTCAGAAGCAGAATAGAGTAGAAAAAAATTCTTAATCAGTAACTAAGACTAATTTATTGCAGGCCTCATTTGCTTTTACATAATTGCAATTTTCCATCTATTTGATAACTTTTGCAGTTTTGAGCTGTGTATTACAAGTCACCTCTTCAAGACACATGAGTTAGTATTCTTTTCAACTGCAGGCCTTATTCTAAAAATCTATATTAGAATGGCCCTTTTAAAAAAGTTGTAAGTATTGGTGCATGTGCAAAGGGGAAAAAATACCCAGAGACATCAGATAAACCTTCAAATGTGTATGAGCACACGAATGAATGGGAAATGGATCCATGATTTTATATATTTAGGTCGCAGGAAAGTGGTTTGCGTCACATGTTCTCCAAGGGTAGAGAAGTAAATAAGTTGTCCCAAGATTTGAAATAGGACTTCACTGTTCTTGTGTTTTTATTTCACAGAAGAAATGTGAAACATATTCTAGCAAGGAACAAAGCATTACAATGGACCAAGTCCTACATTTTACCTGAGTTTCCCTATGATGTCAAGTGCATGTTAGCAGAGCAGCAGTGTCCAGATCACAGCATGAGGATACGCATCATTGAGTTTCTCCAGGCCGACATGACTAAATACCTGGATGGCTCGCTGTAAGTAGTAACAGGGCAGACTTTCAGTTTGGGGAGAGGATCTGCTTTCTGAGAAGAGTAGAAGTTCATTTAGAATCAAATTTTCAGCTCTTGGATGACACAGGATAGAAGTCCCACATGCACAATATTCCAATGTCTATTTTGTTTTATGGGAAAATGTCTCAAAAGTGACTATAACATAGACTCCTCTTGAATGTAGGCTCTTTGAAGTGAAATGACTCTTTCTTGTGGTTAACAGGTATCCCACCACCCAGCAGTACAATGATGTGGTCAATGCCTTACTGCAGGCCCATCCGTTCCTGGATGAGGACGGCTGTGGCTTTGTAAGTGACCAGTGGTCCAGTAATCCTATTTTGCTCAGTCCACCTTGAAATAATAGCTCATTTGACTTTCCTCAAAAACCATTGCAGCTGACAAGACTGAGTCTATTTTTCCATTGATGATCAGATCGCCTGCTAATAGTTCCTTTGGTAATATGTACTAGAGCTGGTCTAGATGTGGGACTTCCCAACTGAGATCGTAATACTTCCTGAAGGACAAGAAATAATCTTATGGAGACTTTTGATGTAAAACAAAAAAATAGTTACTTCCTTCATGCTAAAACCTTGCCTAACATTATTTTAGTAGCATTCCTATTGTGTTTTTCTGATTCAATTTCCTCAGCTGTAATTTAGGATTATAATTTGTATAATAATGTTCCAAAGTTATTGTAAGGATAAATACATTAGGATACAAAGGATACAAAAGATAGATACATTACTTCTATTATGATTTCAAGCCCAAAGATGATGAACAAATAAAGAATTTAACACTTATATAGTGTTTTTTCTAATCTCCTGTAAAAAAAATATAACTATCCTGTTTAATTTTACACAGTTTTTATGGAAACGAGCCCTCAAAGATCGTTTTAAATATGTTCGAAGGCCTATAGAAGATGATGAACAAGTAATGAGAAATAAGTACAAATTTGGACACCGAAGAGGCCAGACAAGGAAATCCCTTGCTGATACAAGATTTGATGAAGTTAAAATTGTACAGATAAAAGTAAGATTGAATCAATGTTCAGACTTTAAAATGAGACACCTTTAAAGAATTATAGGTGTAGTCAGGATCCAATTAAATGAATAGCTTGCATGCCAAACCATGTGAGTAATGTCTCCAAAAGCAGTTTGAGGCAAGAATGTTACTAACTGTCTCGTGGTCATTTTTTTCACGATCTTTAAATAACCTGGGAAAACTTGAAGTTCTGGGCCCTTGAATTATTTCTCTTTCTCTCATTCTCTTATATATTTTATGTTTATGAGTTTTTTTTCTTTTTCTTCTCTTTAGGTGATAGGTGGCTTATTTTTTAATTATATTTTTTATTATCTTTAAGTAGTTGTACAAGGGAATTTCCATTCAACTAATCAGTTTATAAGTACAATGCATCTTGGTCTTGTCCCCACTTTCATTATTCTCCCTCATTTCTTACAATCCAACTCTTCGCCTCAATTTCATAAGATATACATGAAATATTATGACTATAGTCTCCTCTTTCTTCTTATTTCTCTCTTCTGGTACTGGGGCTTCAACACTGGGTTTTGTGCTTGCTAGGCAGTTCTCTTTTTGGTTGGGCCAGCAAGGACTGTGATTCTCCTATTTATGCTTTCTTTCCTCTATAGTTATGAGGAGTGATGAATGCACCCCATTCTTTTGGTATGGGCCTTGGAAACATTTTTTTTTCCTGAGTTAGTACCAGCCAGTCTTAAGTACTTAGGGAGACACTGGCTCTCCCAACCCCCATCAAAAGCAACCTAAAAAGTCATAATAAGTTTACATTCCCACCAACAATGCAGTAGGGTTCCCTTTTGGCTACATCCCCTCCAGCATCTTAGAGCTCTTGATGATAGCCATTCTAACTGGAGTGAGGTGGAATCTCAATGTTGTCATGATTTGCATTTCTTTTATGGCTAGAGATGAGCATTTCTTCGTGTGTCATTAACCATTCTTTTTTTTTAATTGTGAAAATACTGTACAGAGGGTTACAATTGCATGGGCAAGGTAATGAGTATGTTTCTTATCAAGCGTTGTTACCTCCTCCTTTGTTTCCCCTTTCCATCCCCTCCCATCTCCCCCTGCAAGTTGTAAAGTTCGTTTTTCGACATTACGTTTTGCACATCTCATTGCTGCAGTGGGTCCACCTGTATCTCTATTTAAGCAATTTGTTTTTTCCCTTCCCCTCCACAAAGTATACCAACATCAAATACAGGCCATTCTTATTTCCTCTTCAGAGAACACTCTCTTTAAGTCTTTCGCCCACTTATCAATCAGGCAGTTGTTTCTCTGAGGATTTGTTGTTGGGGGGTTTAATTTTTGAGTTCTAAGTATATTTTAGATATGAGACCCTTGTCGGTTGTATGGCTAGTGAAGATCTTCTCCCAGTCCCTGGGCTTTCTATTGATCTTGCTAGCTATGTCCTTTGCCATGCAGAATCTCTGTAGTTTCATGCAACCATTTATCCAACCTTTGTTGTGTTTCTGGGTCTGTACTAAGAAAATGTGGCCCCTGCCAAGTAGCCCTAGTGTTTCTCCTATTCCATCCTGTAATGTTTTCAGGGCGTCTGCTTTGACTTTGAGGTCTTTGATCCATTTGGAGTTGATTCTGGTGCAGGGTGACATATAAGGATCTAATTTTAGTTTTCTACATGTGTTTAACCAGTTTTGCCAGCACCATTTACTGAAGAGGCTGTCTTTCTTCCATTTATTTTTTTGACTCCCTTATTGAAGCTATTGGTGGCTATAGGTCTGTGGGTTCATTTCTGGGTCTTCAGTTCTATTCCATTGGTCCTCAGGTCTGTTCTTGTGCCAGTACCAAGCTGTTTTGATTACTATGGCTTTGTAGTGGTTTGAAATTTGAAATTCCTCCAGTGCTGTTCTTTCTGCTAAAAATTGTTTGTTTGTTTTTGCTATTTGGGATCTTTTATTGTACCATATGAATTTTTGGATTGCTGCTTCTATTTCATTGAGGAATGAGGTTGGTATTGATAGGTATCACATTGAATTTGTATATAGTTTTTGGCAGTATTGCCATTTTCATGATGCTAATCCTCCTAATCCAGGAGCCTGGGAAGTTTTTCCACTTCCTTAGCACTGTTTTAATTTCCTTTTTCAGGTTTTTAAAGTTTTTGTCATAGAGGTCCTTCACCTCTTTAAGTTAACTCCTAGGTATTTTGTTTTTTGTGGGGCTATTACAAAAGGAATTGCTTTCCTAATTTCAGCTGCGCTCTTCTCATTATTGGCATAAGGGAAAGCTGTTGATTTCTGAGGGTTAATTTTATGCCCTGCTACTTTGCCAAAGTTTTGAATCAGCTCAAGTAACTTGTGAGTGGAGTCCATGGGGTTCTTTAAATACAAGATCATGTCATCTGCAAAGAGGGAGAGTTTTAGTTCACCTTTCCCAATTTGAATCTCCATTTATGTTTGCATCTTGTCTTATTGCCCTAGCTAGGTATTCTAATACTAAGTTGAAGAGGAGTGGAGAGAGCAGACATCTTTGTCTCGTTCCTGAATTTAGAGGAAATGGCTTTAACTTTTCACTATTTAGTATAATGCTGGCTGTAGGTTTGTCATACGCAGCCTTTATTATAGTGAGGAATGTTCCATGGATTCCTAGTTTTTTCGGAGCTTTCAGCATAAAGGGATGTTGGATCTTGTCAAATGCTTTTTCTGCCTCTATTGAGATAATCATGTGGTTCTTATCCTTGCTCTTGTTGATGTGATGAATTATATTATTTGATTTGCATATATTGAACCAGCTTTGCATTCCTGAAATGAATCCTGTTTGATCATAGTATATGATTTTTTTGATGAGTTGTTGAAGTCTATTGGCCAAAATTTTGTTGAGAAGTTTTGCATTGATGTTCATAAAAAATATGGGTCTATAGTTCTCTTTCTTTGATGAATCCCTGCATGGTTTTGGGATGAGGGTTATGATGGCTTCATAGAAAGAGTTTGGTTTTTTCCCTTCCCCGCCACAAATTATAACAACATCAAATACAGTGAAAGCAGGGGTTATACTGTGGGGGAGGGACATACAAAGCAACAAAGAAATAATCTTATAAATGTGTTAGAAACAATTGCATGAAAGAAAAAAAATTTGAATACATATCTTAGGGTTCATTTCCCTAACATCAACTTATCTGACCTTACAACTTTGGTGGGGAGGAGGAGGGTTAGGTGGGGGTGAGTTGGAGGAGTATTGGTGTGAGCTCTACTTTGAAGGCCTTGTAGAATTCTGCTGTAAAATCATTCCGGTCCTGGGTTTTTCTTAGATGGGAGGTTTCTTATTGCTGTTTCTATTTTGATGCTTGAAATTGGTCTGTTAAGTTGGTTTAAATCATCTTGGTTTAGTTTCAGCATGTCAATATTTGATATTCGTCCATATCTTTCAAGTTCTAAAACTTATTAGCCTAAAGGTTTGAGAAGTATCCCCTTATATTCTGAATCTTGGTTGTTTCTGTAGTGATGTTTCCTTTCTCATCTCTGAGTTTGGTGGGTATGTTCTCTTTTTTTTCTGATAAGATTTGCTAAGGGTCTGTCAATTTTATTAATTTTTTCAAAAAAACCAACTCTTTGTTTTGTTTTGTGTTTTGGGGGGATATTTTTGGATTCTATTTCATCTAATTCTGATTTAATTTTAATTATTTGTTTCTGTCTACTGGATCATTTTTGTTTATCTATGGTGATGAAGCAAAGGATATAAATACTAGAAATAAGGGTTGGAAGAACCTCCCAAACACTGAATTTATGTCACAGAATTGTAAGCTTCAGATTGATTGCCTAAATTACTTTTAATCTCCATTTTGACCTCATAGAGGTTTTTCCATTTCCTTAAGATTTGAAAAAATCTTAGAAACATTTGAAATAAGACACCTTTAAGTAATTTTCACATCTTTCAAAATTCTTTGACTGAGTAAAATGCTTTCATATAAAAAAAAAAAACCATTACTGCCGGGTGCTGGTGGCCCATGCCTATAATTCTAGCTACTCAGGAGGCAAGATCTGAGGATCGCGGTTCAAAGCCAGCCCACGCAGGAAAGCCATGAGACTCTTATCTCCAATAAACTACCAGAAATCCAGAAGTGGTGCTGTGGCTTAAGTGGTAGAGCACTAGCCTTGAGGGGAAGAGCTGAGGGACAGTGTCCAGGCCCAGAGTTCAAGCCCAACGACTGACAGCAAAACAAAACAAAAACGTTACTTTGTCTGCTATAGAGATGGAACATTCTGATAGAGCCAAAGAGTAGGAGCTATCCGTGGAAATGCAGGAAGGTAAGAATGGCTCACTTGGAAGACCTTGAAAGAGTCTTTGGAAGGGGAGAAGGTTTGTTTTGTTTGCTTTGTCTCCATGGTTACTTTTTCCTTTGGTGGTAAGATGCAAGAATTGAAGGCAGATAGTTCAAAGGAGGAAAGAAGGCGTGTGGATTTCTTAATCTTGTTGTATGAATTCCCACAGGTAACCCAAGATGCTGTGTGCCACTTGTGTGGTTTTAAGTAGAGACTGAGATCTTTTGTCTCTAAAGCTCCGCCTACCACAATCTGTTTCCAAGTTAGCTCTGAGTAAATAAACTATATTTTCTTGGCTATAATAACACCCAAGACATTGATCAAGCTGAAGTACCACCTGTGAGTCAGCATGCCTGGGTTCCCCTTGTTCTATGGCTAAAAGATTTGCGCAATATTTTATATATAGCTATACTAGTCTAAATCCTAGGCTTTGTCTTCAATCCAATTCTGCAAAAGGCAAGCTATTTTGAAAAGTTTAGAAATACTTTTGTCCCCCCAAGACCCCTTGTTGCTGCTTATATGCATTCAATTATATGCAGCAGTGTGCCAGCCTTTCTTAAGCACTTGACTTTCAGTGATAAAAAAGAAGTAAATGAGATAAAGAGAAAAGTCTAGCCTATAGCAATGATAATTACTCATGGCTGAGTCAATAGGCTCAAATAAATCCAAATAGCTCCTGAATTAATGTTTTATTTTTCAATGGTCTTTTACTATATACTTCAT